GGCCTCCCTGGTCTTCCCTTGCTCGCTCGCGCCTGAGGGCCCACCCCTACAGCAGGCAGCACAGGCGAAGGGAGGAGAGCGAGACAGAGGAGAAAGAGAGAGGCGGGGTCGGGCTCCTGCTGGGCTCTGGCTGCGCGGCGATGGGGATGGGAGAAGCAGCGGGTGGACCCCAAAGAATGGCGGAGAGGAAATTGCTTTCCGATGGAGAAAAATGAGGCGCTCTAATCTTTCGGTCGGGCGCCGCTGCCGCTGCCGCCGCCCCCGCCGCCCCTTCCCTGCCGCCGCAGAGAGGCCGGCCCGGCCCGGGGGGTGGCGGCGGGGCTTAGCGCGGGGGTGGAGCGGACCAGCATCGCGGTTAAGGGCGGCCTCCCTCATCCCCGCCTGTTTTATTGTCTCCCCTCCTCTCAATGCAGCCCCGCCCCGGCCCGCCCCGGCCAGCCCCGGCCGGATGGGATTTGGCACCAAGTTAGCGCTCCTCTTTACGACACGGGCGCGAGGCGGCCCACCCCCTGCCCACTCCCCCTTTCGCGTTCCCCGGCTGGCCCCACCCCGCCGGCGCTGACGCGCCTCCCCGGGATCAGCGAGCTGAGCCTTTCATTTCGCAGCGCAGAGTCGGCCTCGCGGTCTGTCCGCTCCCGCGCTGTCGGTCTGGGTGGAGTGCTCGAGCAGAAGGCACGAACTTTGGGGACATGACGGATTGAGGTGCCAGCCCCACGGCCCGTCCGCCCGTCCGTGCGCCGCCTTGCACGCCCGTCCGTCCGTCCCTCCATCGCTCGGCAGCATCACCTTCCTCGATTAGTCACGTTTAACGTCGTCACCCTCGTGATCCCGGGCGTCTTCATCACTCACCCTCTCCTCGACGCCACCTCCCGCGACGGGCGTGGCCTGCTACCGCTACCCCCCCCCCCCTTCTCGCTTCGCCCTTTCCTTTTTCTATCCTATCCCCTCTCGCCCATTTATTGCTCTGCAGATGGAGGGGAATTTGCTCCAATTTCCAGCCCCATACTCTCCGCCCCCCTCCCCCTCATGGAGTGTATGTGTGTGTGTGTGCGGAGCGACGAGGCCCGGGCGCCATCTTGCCGCCCTCCTCGTGGCCGGCCGTCCCTGCCGCCCCGGCCCGGGGGTCAGGAGCAGGGAAGCAACTCAATATAGAGTCCCGGGCGGCCCGGGCGGGGAGCGCGGGGTGATTGTAGAGGAGGGGCTGGCGGCGCTTATCGGGGCCGCGGGGCCGCGGGGCCGCGGGGCTCCGAGAGCCGACCGTGGAATAATCGCCACCGACAGCGAGTGCGGGAGTGGAGCCGGCAGCCCCGCGGGCGCAGCAGGCCGGCCGGGCCGCTGACTCCCAGGGCGGCGCGGCGGCACGGTGGCGCATTTTCGACCACCTCGCACTCCATTTCCTTGAGCTAACGCATTTTCAAGTCAACTGAAACATATCATTGGGCAATCGGGCGTGGTGGATTCCCACATCGTCGTCTCGAACGCTGCGGTGGCGGCGGCGGAGCTGAGGAGGAAGGCTGAGGTGGCGCTGCAGCGTTGCCTAGCGGCCCTCGTGTCAGAGGTGCGCAGAGCAGCCGAGCGGCAGCCAATCACAGCGCTTTGGTATCGCCTGGGAGCCGGCCCGGCCAGAAACCACCCCGTCTGAGGCTAGTCTGCAGGCGAGCCGACGCGCGCTCAGCGGAGGGAGTAGTCTCGTTCGGGGTGTCCCTGGCCCAGGCGATACCAGCCCGGAGCTCTGCGCACCTCTCACACGAGGGCCGCTAGCGTTGCCCCCTCCTATAAACGCACCCGGAGAGGGAAGACCGCCCGGGCCCCGCGGGGCACAGCTGGGGGAGGGGGGGGGGCACTCCGCCGTGCTCTCGCCGCTCTCGCCCCATTGTGAGCAGGCGCCGCCATTATCCGTGTAAGCGCGCTCAACCACATGGCACCGAGATAAGCGGCAATCGTTTGTTGCCGCTAGAAGGCGCTGATGGTCGTCCCCCTGCCTCCCTCCTCCGCCTGCTTCTCCTCCTCAAGGGCCTCTCCCTCTCACTCTATCTAACTCTCTCTCTCTCCTCCAGCACCTCCAGCGGCTGTCTTCCTCCCGCCCGCGGGGGGTGGAAGTGAGTGGGCGAGGCCAGCAGAGGCGCGCAATCGAAAGACTCGCGAACGCGGCGGCGGCCGTCGACACTCGCAGCCCCTGGAGCAGCCGAGGACGTTCCTAGAACACGACAACACCATCCGAGATCCGAAAGGGGTGTCCTTTCCCGCTGCTGCACGCTGTACTGTACTCGTTGTGAATCGTGGTTGTTGTACCGGGTGATTCACAGAAGACGCAGGTGCGGGCGGGTTTGCCTACCCGCTCTACCCGTAAGGCGCCATAGCCCGCACCCCGCCCGCACCTGGCGTCTTCTCTGAATCACCCGGTACTGTACCTCTCGCCCCGTTCGCTGGTTTATTGCTACCGTTCCTGATTATGGTGCCTCATAGCCCGGGTGAGAAGGCAAACCTGCCCGCACGCGTGCGTGCGGTGGCCTAAGTGGGCGGGGCGAATGAGCCGCCTCATCGTTATGCCAAAGTTTTGAAGAGGTTTGCGAACGGAAGCAGTGTAACTTCTTGTCAATTTGTGATGTTGGCCTCTCCCCCATTCCCACCAACACCGCCGAGAACGCGACGAGGGGGGATGGGGCGAGAAGAGCCGATAGCGCGCGAGCTTGCGCGAGACAATGACGGCGGGCGGAACATAATGCCCGAGACCGACCGGGAGGAGAGGGTCCGCACCGCGCCTCGTGGGTGAAATGAAGCGCGCTGATGAAGAGAAAAGAGCGGCCCGAGCCGCGTCTCTTTCTCCACTCTCCCCCGAAATTGAAACCGGAATGCGGCCAAGAGCCGGCGCTCAATCGGAAGGGCAGGATAACGGCGAGAATGGCTTTTCGGAGGAACAGCAAATGAGTATAATGGTGGAGGTAGAAGACGCCATGGGGGAGGCCGGTGTTGTTTTCTAGGGTGGTCATTAATCTGTAAGGGAAGGAGTGAAAGTACTTAGGACTAACTCTTTCCGCAAGTTGTGGAAAGGGAGGGGGGGGGGCGAGGGGCGAGTTGACACATTTAAGGTGCCCCAGCCCCATGGCCACACTGTGGCCACGCTTTGCTGTTTTTTTCCACTCCAACCCCCGGAATGCACAGCCGCGCACAGACGTGTTACCGTTACCCTACCATCTATGCACGTTAATGTGCATTAAATTGATTAAATGCGGAAATGCGCATTAAATGTACCTAAAATCTGTTACCTTAGGCGTATTTCAATGCGCATTACCTTGAGAAAGGGCCTCAAGCCATTACCATGCTGCTAGGGATTACAGTACCTAATGCTAGCCTAATGTCCTCCCTTCTGTCTAGGTCGTGCGTCATCGTACTCCTTATCTCCCTTCAGTCGCAAGTGGTGTGGGCGGTTGTCTGCTGTCTGCCCCAGCTGACAGTGATATTGTAAACAAAAACAACCCAAGCGAAACCGTTTTTGCTTTCATAAATGGCTCATTTGCAGTATGTTGACGAGTTGGTGCGAGAGTATTTACTTTTTCGAGGATTCAGCACTACCCTGAAAACTTTCGACACTGAACTGAAAGCTGATAAAGATAAAGGTTTCAGAGTAGGTTAACCTGTGTCTTGTATTGTTTGACTGTTATTTGTCTAAATGAAAGCTGGGATCACGAATTTTTATGCATGCACTTGTTAACAAGTTCATCAATGTCTTCAAATCAAATTTTCAGGTTGACAAACTTGTGGACCAGTTGACGCAACACATCTATAGCTATGATCTTGTAGCACTTCGAGAATTGTGGGCTCATCTTGATCACAAAATTTTTACTCGTCTCGAGCAGGAGTTCACCCCTGGTAGGAGGAAATTACTTATATGTATTTATCAAAACATTTCTGACTTATATATACTACCAGATCAAAGTTTTGAAAAATGATGAACTTTCAGCTGTGCGGAAGCTAGAGAATGCAGTGCTCAAATTGTACGTTGTCAATGCTGTTGTTAATGGAAAGGCTGACAAATTAAATGAGTTTTTCTCCCGACTTGCTCCCGAATTACAAGGGCAAGGAGAATGGAAGGATTGGTTTTGTAAGTAAAACCCTTTTGATGTATCTACCTATCTATCTTGTTATCTACCTTCATTAATTCTCAAAAAAACAAAAATTTCAGTGATCCCATTTTTGAAAAATCCAGAAGAAAGCCCTACTTTTGCTGTTCATTTCACAAGACAGTGGCAAGACACCCTTCTCGTGTCATTACATAATTTCCTAGCCACAATATTTCAGGTAATGTTGCATTTCCTAATACCGCATTATTAGCATTAGTTTTCTGAAAATAGTACTTTTATAGTGTGTTCTTTATCCCCCTTTAAAAAAACAGGTCATGCCACTCCCAACATTAGCTAGTTTAGAACAAGATGCGGCTCGAGTCAAGCGCCTGCAAGAAGAAAATGAGTCGCTGCGTCACAAATTGGCAGCTCTCATGGAATTACCAAATGCTTCAACTGTATTATCTGCTCTCAACAATTCTGGATCTCAAAACGCTGGTCCTTCTGGTGCATCAATAGGGATCTCAAGTGGTTCCGCCCCGCAGGGTCTATCAGTACAGGACATCTTACCTCCGGAAGTACCCCAACCTCCAGATCTGATGGATGACTTTTATGTTATTGCACCGTAAGTATTACTTTCTTACTATCCATAGTTACTCCTTGCATTGCACATTCTTAGGTCCAATTCTAAACATCTAGTAAACTTATACCAATAAGAGACATGTTTAATTACCTTGAAACTATTTTACTGGATTTTTACTTCTTCTACAGTGAAGGAGTAGGTTCTCAACCCTCATCATCAGACAGTCAAGTCAAAACTTTGAAAAGTTTGATCAGGAACATAGGGGGCCTTCCCAGTAGTCCTATAATGGGCCGTAAACCAACACCAGCTGTATCCCAGTCCACCCTTCTCTCACTCTCCAGTAAGAATGATGAACATTTGATGAACTGAAGCATATACTATCTAAGAATAGCATGAATGTCCTCATCTGGGAATTTACTTCGTAACTTTACAGGCAGTGGAAAATCAAAAATTGTATCATCATCCTCGATTGAGTCACAACATAAGAGATCAAATAGTAAGCAAAGGATTGGTCCAGGAAGAAACTCTCCTAATGTTAGGTAAAAGTTTCATCTTTTACAGTTCAGAGAGTTATTTTGATTTTGAAATATGATATACTCTTAATTCTTACTGGCCATAAAGTTTGTTCGCATGTAAATAAACATTAATTTTGTATGAAATTACTTTACTTTTAGTGACAGAATGGATGCCTCGTCCGCATCTGCACGACCATCTTTAAATATTCATGTAGCCTCTGCTAATAGTAGAAGTTTGACAACCACTGCTGCTCCACCCCAGAGAGGCAGGGCACGAGAAATGCCCACAGACTGTACCAAGGCTGAAGGGGTCAAATTTGAAGCTCACAAGGGGGAAGGAAATATTATAGCAAGACAACCAGCCACGCCACCTGCTGGGGCATTTTTGATACTCAGCCAGGTAAGTAATCACAGGTCTCAACTAATATAACTTATTACGCTCTCTAACATTTTGTTATAATCTTTTTGGTATATCTAATACCTGTCTATCTCCACAATGGAATTCATGTTTCATATTTTATAATTTAAGTGCCTCTTAAATAGCTCTTAACATCCTTGGCAAGATTGTTATGTTATCTAATTTATTTGCAATTTCTACCTGAATTCTCACACTAGGAGCACTACATGGAACATAAAGCTGCAACCAGCCACTGTAATTTCAATACATCAGGCACTATGGTAGCAAGTGCAGATGTTGAGGGTGTTATCAAGGTCTGGGATGCAGCTCAGACACTAAAGTAAGTTTTTGTCTCTTAACTGTATTTATTTGCTACAGCACTTTGTTGCTGTTTTCCAACATATTATGTGTAACCTGTGATTATTAGGACTGTAGCTTCATTCAACACAAAATCCCGTTTGGTGGCTTTGGACTGGATATCAAAAAATGAACGCTACTTCATGTCAGCAAATTGCAATGGAATAGTAAGACTTTTAGATACGCAGGATAGTCGCGTTCTGTGGGAAATGAATGGTGATAGTAACAGCAACTTAAAGGGTTTGAGGTAAGAGGAATGAATGCTATGTTTACGTTCCATTGAGACAATTATACTCAAAAATGTCTTTTACAATCCAACATTATTTTTTTACAGACTACAAAACCTTTCATGTAGCCCTATTGAGCCTGTTTTCTTGTGTTCAGCTGCCCCACCACAGGGTCAGGGGCGTTTGCTATTGTTTGATATTAAGACTAAACAGTTACAGGTAAATAAACTCCCTTTGTATCTCTTCTAAGCTCCTATAAATGTGCTATCAAATTCACCCTACCTGTTTGTCTTAAATTCTTACAGAGGTCACTGAACTTAAATGGTAGTCAAAATCTTATAGCCAATTGTTTTGCATTCAACCACAATGGGCAATTGGTGGCAGTGGGTTGCTCTGATGGTAGTGTGCAAGTATTTGACATTAGGAGAGGCTCATTTATTGATAGCTGGCCTGCCCACTCTGGACCTGCTCTTGCCCTCCAGCTTACTCCGGATGACACTGCTTGTTACACTGCAGGAGCTGATAATAAGGTATGCAAGATCACATACTAACTTCAACTTTTAAATAATCTTCCTTTTATTCTATTCATCATAACTTAATTTGTGTCTTTTCTCCTAGCTTTGTGGAAAAAGTATGACTCAAAGTGGACAAGTTCTTTGTGAGTCATTGATTCCAGATTTAGCATCATTGGTACAGCTACCAAATAATGCATCTCTTCAGCCTTCACAACTCTTTGCATTCCATCAATCTGGGACACATGTTTTAGTGAGATGTGCTGGTGGCTCTGTTGTATGTCAGGTTAGACCTAAAACAAATAATGTTTCCAGACATCATCTTTAATATGTCGTTATGCTTTGTATCGTCATTTCATGTGCCGTAATGTTCTACATCTTTTCATTATTTGTGTTCCAGGTGGGCTCTCAAATGGAGCGTGTACTTGAACTCTCCTCCCCACGTAGTACTACAGTGGCTATCGACTGGGCAAGTGCCAACCAGTGCAGTACCTGCCTGAATGCCCATGCCAATGGAAACATTACTGTTTCAACTCTTCTTACTCCTTAATTCCAGACTATGAGTACCTGAATTGAAGTGTAGTTATTTTGGATTTTGGGGGTGACCTATCTCATTTTAATGTTTTTGTTCACATATTGATATTTAGAATTAACTTTTTAGAAATGAGGCTTTATTTTGTGGGTTTAGGAGCACTGCGACAGGTTATGGTAAGTTGTCATTTTTTGAAGAATATTTAAGTATCTATTACATACTCTTTTATTTGGTCTTCTAATCAATTTTACACATTTTACTTGAAATGTAAGTCAGACCTCAAATTTATCAAATGAAGTTATGAAATTGTAGAGCACCCATTTTTGTGTTTCCTTTCATATTTATTACATTATTTCTAGTACTTTATATTTAACTGTGTACTTATATAATCTAAAGCTTAAAAATATGCATGCAATGAGTCCTATTTTAATGAAGTATTTTATTCAATAGATACATAATGTGCACTGTGTCTGGTGAAACCTAAAGAGCAACCTCTCTAACTGCATAATCATTAGAAAAATATTGGAAGTTGATAAAGTTGTTGTTATATATTAGGGACCAATATATTCTGTGTATTCCAAAGATCAAACTTAGTTGATGTGATGTGTTCATCACTAAGGCTAAAAATATTACAAATGTGATACAAATGTGATAAAAACATTTAAAAGTTGTTGTATTCCATGTCCATCTACAATTATAAAATGAAATTTAGTTTTCAGCAAGCAATTATTTGGCTCGCCAGAGGTGGCCCTGTCCGAACCAATCCCGCTGACTGAGTTAATAAAGGAGAAAAATAACGACGAAGGGCTTCTCGAATCTCTGCAGGTGATATTGGTAACCGCTCCAACTGTTATGAGAAAAAGGAGAGGAAAATCAATACATTTAAACACTGTAAGAGTTAAACATCATCAGTATGTTGAGAAAGCACTTAAGATGTGTCCTACCCCAGAGGATGCACTAGTACTTGAAGGGGGTCTTAATGTTAGAGGCCGTAAGGGACCTCCTGGAACAGTTCCGCAAGAATCTTGCCTTACGAGAATTGCAAAGTCAATGAGCATTGCTACTGTCTCCTTGGCTAGATATGCTAAAATATCAATTGCAGCACTGTTCATCCGTGGAGGTGAAGAAATAAAAGGTTCTCCTATTAAACCTGGACTTGTATCAATTGCAAGAGATAGCCACTCAAGAAAACGTTGATGTGTTAACTTGCTGTTGACAAATGCTGCTCTGCGAGCATTACTAAACTCTACATATCTGTAAAATGTAAGTATTATTTTTTAATTTGCAAGTGAAGTGATGACAATCCGAATTTGGTCAGCTATATATAAGGATGGATATTTACCCTGCAGGATCTAGACTCAAAGATATACTATCTGCTCTTTGATTCCTCTTTTGTCTAATGGGGTCAGACATTGGATTATTTAAACTCTCTAAAAGTTCACCACTGACATCAACCTCTGTGAACATCTCTCTTAGATTTGCTTGACGATTCCGTCTAGCAGAATCTAAAAGGTTTGTTACATCGCCCTCAGAATCGTCAGTCGGCTCCACCACATCACTGGCTGTCAGTGCTGAGAAATTGGTTCTCATTTCCTTCACAGCTAAAAGAAAAACAGTACATAGTTAGGAAGATAAAAAATCATGACTCAAAAGATTCTACATCTTATTTGTACATACACAAGTAGTTGTAGAGCCGGCGCAGCTTGTCAGGGTTTTTCCTCATCAGAAAAATTATGTCCCTAGGATTTACAGTCTTTGAACCTCTTCTTGTAGCTTGCTCCTCTGCACGCCACGCTATGCTCAAGACTTGCTGCTGAACAATATTCGCCACAAGTTTGACTGTGGCGGGAAGAGGTCTGGCACAATCTCCACACCCATGCATCATCAATTGGATTTCTTTGTTGAAAAAAAAAAGTTAAAATTTCAATGTTTACTAACTGGAGAAGAAAATTTACTTGGATATGTACTTTTAGTAAATATCGGGAGACTAACCATGTAAATAAAGTTGCTCCGTATCCGACATTGGAGACAACAGTTTTTTGTACAAGTTAATACTTTTAATTTAAACACAGGGGAATAAAAACGCAAGAACGTATAAAGAAAGCTTCCCGTTTTTCTCAAAGCTTGATTACTCAAAGTGACAGCAAGGGAAGGGAGCCGACGGCGACGACGACGAACCATGAGGATATGGTGTTAACGACATGCGACCGATTTGCGACCAAAGCGACTAAGCGACTTGCGATTTGCGACCGATGCGACTAAGCAAATAGCGACTTGCGACCGGTGCGCGACTTGGCGACTGAGCGAATGTGCGACTAAACAACTTGCAATTTTACCACTCCCAAGCAGAGGACCAGCTCTACACGCGTTAATGTGGCGCCAAAAGACAAAAACGAATCATAAAAGCGCTACTTTAGGGCCACAATCGTAATTAGGCTAGCCCCAAAGTTGCTCGTCGCTTAGTCGCATCGGTCGCAAACCGCTAGTTGCTTCGTCGCATCGGTCGCAAATCGCCTGTCGCATCAGTCGCAAATCGCAAGTCTCTTAGTCGCTTTGGTCGCAAATCGGTCGCATGTCGTTAACACCATATCCTCCATATAATCAAAACAAAAGAAAGGTATGTTAAGTTAAGCTGATCTCGTCACCTCGGTTGGTGAGTGTGAGTGCAAATATCCACTACTATTCGTCCTTCGTCCTTTCGCTCCCACCAAGAGAGGACGAGGAAAGGAGAGGGTACTGCGAGCCACCCCCGGGAGCACGGTGCCTTTGAGCAGAGCGGTTAAAAATATTGAGAGTACTGGTCGCAAAAACAACTTGTTCGGCGTACTCCCAAGGGATGGGGAAGTTACACCGAAACTCTAAATTGACCGAAAACGTTCACAGTTGAAATATATTCCCGTTCAAAAATCCCCCTTTCTCGTGTGCCGATGTGTCGGCTATCCCCTCAGTTCCTCTTTCCGCCACCCGTAGCGCTGGATGTACGATTTCGCCGCCATTTGCCTTCTGCTCTTGTTTACGTCGTTGCGTAGGCACAGCTGGCCGATTACCCACTTGAGATTAACATTTTCACCTCTGGAATAATTCATATCGATTTAAAACCCAATGCAAAATGACGCCGTGAATGTTTTATTTTAATGTTAAGTGACGTTTTGGTCTGTCGAAGTACTATTTTGACGCTCCGAGCATGTTTTGTGACGGGAGTAACCTGATCTGTCTGTCTGTTACCGATCGACAGCGAACTGAATATTAACATTTTTACCTTAAATAGCCCTACCTGCGGTTGAAAATTGAATCGGTGGCCTTCTCTAGACCATAAGGAATAACTGGTGTGTGTATTTTTCGTTGGTCGACCTATTATTTAGGCGCTGTGCTCTGCACTTTGGATAGGTGACATGGCCTGGCTGTCTCACCAGGACACACTTTTCTGGTATTTACTTCAACGTTATTGCAAAGTGTATCAAATTAATCAGTGCTGTCTGAAGGAAACCAGGCACTTTACCTTTTTTGAAAAGATTTCAGCCTCCTACATGACCTGAAGAAAAAGTAATGATAAAGTATATACTTTGCGTCGAACATTGTATTCCTCATTCCTCGCAATCTTTGAGGGCTTGTTTTCCTACCAATTAAAAATACCTGGGTTGATTTATAGTGCGTTTTAATTTAAAACAAATAAGCAAATAACTAGCCTACCTATTAGAAACAAGATTGCTTATCCCAAACCAAAATGAAAACAAATATAAAATAAAGCAACTTTTAGTAATTTATATTTTGGTTGCACCTTTGTAAGTAATTTGAATCATTCAGACAATCTTAAGCAAAATGTGAGTTGGGGTCATGTATAGACACAAACACAAAGTAAAGGAAACATTTTGAGTTTTAAAGTTGAATATCCATGATCAGCGCAGTGAGGAAAGAATACTTCTCAAGCATTTAAAATTTGGTCATTACGGAAGTGACTATAAGATCAACACATGTAAAATGCATGCTCATATCAGATGGTGAATTTATCTGTGTCTTAGAACAAGAGGTGAAGATTTTGTATCAGCTTATATTAACCAGTTAAAAAAAAATTTCAACCCTTCCAAAACAAGCATAACTTTCCAATTCACTAATTTTTAAAAAATCCACCATTACTTTTTTTTTTCAGAAAAATATGTCAAATTCATTTTAGTTTTAATTAAACTTACACTAATTCATTTTTTTTCACTGAGTTAAAAAAAAGTGTCCCCTTATGTATAGTGTTCCACATTTCAAGATTGCATCCTGACTGCATGCGGCGAAAGCTCGGGCATAGCAATTATTCTCACGCGTTTCCCACCAATCCCCTTCCTTTTTAGTGGATGAAATTAGGTTTCTATACTTTTACGGATAGAAAAACCCAAGCTTGACCGTTCTCCAATTTGAAACTCCCCGCGCTGGGGTCGCGCGTGACACCAGCGCTGCACGGCGATCGGTGGAACTCAGGGGATAGCCAAGACATCGACATACGGCCGGCCCAGCACCCTCTCCTTTCCTCGTCCTCTCTTGCTCCCACCCCCCTCCCCCCCCTTCTCCGGTAGTGCAGACGACGCCGAAAACGGGCCGCAAACGTAGAGAGGTTAAACTATAGTGTATTTGTCGCCGTTGGGCGTTGAGAACTGTGCCAAATGTCTCTATTGTCCGTCTCTCGGAACCCGTTGAAGGGTTTAAAACCAGTTAGAATACAATTTGTTTGGAATCATGCTATCAGATTATCTTCAGGAACTTTTGGTACAGACAACATGGATGCAGGCAAGTTTTTCATTGAGGAAGTCAGGCTACTTTCTTAGTTATTTTTCTAACATTTTTGTTTTAAATTGTAAGGCTTATTTCTGTTTTATTCATATTTTAGGTGAAGAATTTAGACAACTCGAGCTTAAGCCCACCCGAACTCGTGAGAAATTTCAACGTAAAAAGGCTCCTGTTCATATGATAATGCCTAGGGACTACAAGAGGTAACTTTCATACATTTACTATTCCACGTTTGGAGCTGCTTCTTTAAAGAAATTCATTTTCAGCATATTCTCATTTTCATGTTCCGAGATTTTTTTCAATTTTTCTTTTGTTTAAGGGCTAACAAAATCGATCCAGATAATGTCGACTGGAAAAGTATATGGCCAGGCCCTCGTACATTTGACCCAAATGCTATCCCTATCCCTGTGAGGCAAGGGAGATTGAAACCCAAACAAAGGGCATTTGGCAAGACTGCAAATTTGGAACTTATGAAGATTCCAACTTTTTTCCATCTAACCCCTCCTGCCATCAAAGCTCATTGTGAAGAGCTGAAAAAGTTTTGCACTCCGTTCCCATCAGAATTAGACACAAAAGAAAAGTGTGAAAAGCACTTTCCATTAACAGTCATAACTAATGACTACTTACACGCTGCACCAACCATTAGAGATCCTTTAGCTAGAATAGTTACTATCAAGGTTTGTGTAGAATTTTGCGTGCTGTATCATAAATGAATAGCATGTAAATATTTCTAAACACATTATATTACAGTTGAAACTCAAGGATATACCACTAGATGAACATGCAAGGGACAAGTTAATGCGAATTATTAAGGACCGATATGATGAAAAAACTGACACTTTGACAATTGTAACTGACCGGTGTCCCTTGCGGAAGCAGAACTATGATTATGCTCAATATTTGTTGACAGCCATATTCTATGAATCTTGGGTATGTACGAATAATATTTTTCCATCTGAATTTTATTCGATCTAACATCTTTCACCCCTGTTTTGTAGACTGTTGAGGAATGGGAAGCATCAAAGACTGAGGCTGATATGGAGCATTATGTGTGGAATAGGAATACATCCTCCAAAGCACTTGCTTCAATACTCAACTGGACACCTGACAAACTGGGGAAATCTATTTTTCATGATCCTTTACCAGAAGATAAACTGAAACCTGAACATCATGCATATGGGAAGGCTGTCAAAAATATTGTTGAAGGTACGTCATTGTGCAACCATTATTTATTTTAACACTTTCTGTGCTGGACGTTTCTTTCCATGTCTCCCCTCAGAGGCGAACCTCGCGAAATTTCGAGTTTTTAATTTTAGACAGAGGCCTATTAAAATTTTAGGGTAGACTAATAGCACTACTAGGATACTAGGACCCATGATGAACCCAGCGCATGGAACGTCAATTTTTGTGTTTCCACCCGGACCTACCGCACAGAAAGTGTTTAAAATAATTCTTCTTTAATGTGTCAATTATTTAATATTAGAGTCTTAAAACAATCTTTTCTATTAATTCAGGTGAAACTGAAGAGGGTTGGTCACAGTACAAGAAGGCTGCTGTTCAAGTACTACTTCGTCAATAAAATCTACAAATCATGTTTTACTGTTGTTTCTCTTAGTTTTTTAAAAAAGGTGCCAGTATGAAAGTTATAAATGATCATTTAGGTAACAGCTTCATGTTTGATTTTCCAATCCTTTATTGAAAACACAAAATAGACATTCAAATGACATCCCATAGGTAAACACTCTGATTTTATCAACGAGAGTTGTACTAAATCTCTAAAATGAAGCAACAGATGAATGAATACCAATCAAAGGAAAAAGGTAGAGGACACAGATTTAAGTTAAGACTGCTTACAAACTATGATAGCTTGTTACTCTAGAAATAGCAGATGATATAGGTATTCAGCAGAAAAATGCAAACTACCAAAGATGGCCATTTATTGGCAGCTTCCCTTCCAGTAAAAAGCTGGTGACCTCAACCAAGAACCCAATCATACAGGTAAGCACATTCCTTTAAGGAATGACTACAAGGGGTTTCTAGTTGTTTTTTCCTAAAAAAAACAAACAACCATTTTAACAAGGAATGTTTAGCGAGCAGAAATTAAAGGTAATATTTTTCAGAAGCAGCACACAGTTAAGCATGGCCATGGTGAACATTAAATCAAGTTCTGTGCTAATCCGTTCATTATTGTCTTCATCAACACGCACAACCTTTCTGTTCAATCCTCAGTTAAAAGAACTCAGTCAATTATTGTCCTCAAAAACTTTGAAGAAAAATAATATAGAACAGAAAAAAAGATTATTATTCATGAAGCCCATGACAATGGTAGCAGCATTTTCTATTAATGATTGATTTGCAGCTGGACCTACATCCACATAGGTGAAATCTTGCCACAGCCAGTTTACTTACACATTTACCAATTGGGTTTACTTGCTTAGATAAAACAATCACTCGGCTCTCCAATTACCTTACAATCACATTAAAATCACATGACTCTCATGGCAAGTCAGACACAGACAAAACTGTCAATATTTAGTGTAAATCTCTGGTTTTCCTTTGCAAAGAAACCAATCCATTATGAAATTTTGTTAACAGATTCTCACAGAATATGGCACAAAACCTTTTGTTAATGCTTGTAATAAAGTTTACAAGGAGATAAATTCACCAGCAAATTTTAAGAAAATAATGCAGTGAAAACTCCAACATTGACCAAATCTAGGGAAAGCCTTACTATTTTCTTATAAGGTGACAAAAGATTTATCAACAGAAAATAAAACTATCTTCAAATACAACAAATGTTCCTTAATTAAAAATAGAGTTTCCTGTTCCTCACAGCCACATAAAGATCCAGGATAACAGAAACTTCAATTTTGTTTGTAAGATATTTACAAAGCACCACACTACATCTCACATTCCAACATCTGAGTGCGTTAGAGCCTATGTTATGAGCAAGTCTCATTTTGGCAAGTGCCATCACACTCACTTTACAGGAAACTGACACTCCTGAATTACATATCAGTCAGTCTCACCCAATTACTCTAAAATCATATATATCACAATGCATGCGTTACAAGGTAAAAGAAGGAAATAACAGATTTATCCTTTGCTTAACTTTGGTATAGAATATGTTGTTTGGATGATATAGAAAGATTTAGTTTCTTTAAGTAATGACACAAATCAAAAATTGCCAGCAACTGACTTTCTTGATCTCATGCATAAGGCGAAATAATGCACATAAGACTGTACACCTTGACACAAACAAATTGCTAAGAGGTAGCACACATTAACCTCGGTCCCTCCATATAAAGTTGCCACTCAAACTTTCAAAAATAAATCTCTAACATACCATATCACACACACCTCTCCAATATTTGAAAGTAGCCATTAAACCACTTCTGTTTTCACAAGAAATTGTTAAAGTTGCTACAAATTATGAAATCACAACAAAATTTAATTTAGAAAAAAATAGGTTGCTAAAGATTCCTTACCATAACTTGGCAGATTTCTATACACTCTCTCTTAGTTGTAGTATTACCATACAAGATCTATGAACCGAAATTGGCAGAAGATTATAGAGTATAAAAAATACCTATCCCCACCATCATTTCAAACAGTATCCACAATGACTAAGTTCATCACCTTTTAAAATCCATTTCCAAAATAATTTTATCTGATATGCATTAAAAATTGTAATTCTCAGAAGCAATTAATTCTTAAAAGTACAGAAGTAATACTCCAAAGTTTTTTTTAGCCTGTAACATGCAAGTCAAGGTCCTCCACTGTTAAAAATTATACGGATATGTTAAATTTTAAAACAATAAAATCAAATTAGGTAGTAGTAAAAAAGCAAACTATGATGGGGGCTTGGACCACATACTCTTTACATTAAAATTGGTGAGTGCTGTGGTTTAATTATCATGAGGTACATAGCAAAAAAGAAAAAAGGAAACACTGTCTTCATATGTTTTTACACTCAGTCTAACACTAACAATGCCAAGCAAAGACGACATTTAAAATGAATTAAATGAGAAAATCAAATTAGTATTTGGTGATTTGATCACATATTCATTTGTAACAACTTACAGGAAAAAGATCAACTGCCAGATCACAGATCTGCATTAATATAGATTTGAAATACCCCTTTTCTAATTATTCAGAAAATAAAGGGAAGATTGGCAATAAAAGCTAATTCAGGTACAAACACAGTACGGATACGTTCACATGGCAACTAAGCAATTAGTTCTAAGTTCCAATATTTCATGACACTAATAGTGACTGGGACAATAGCATGGTGGTTAAATAGTTCCAGAACACCCAAGCAAGATCAATAAGTGGTACATTAAAGAAATGTACAGTATAACAGAAAAACCAACCATCAAAACAGATTAAACAATGTTACATAACAAAGCACATTAAATGTGTTTAGACAAGTAATTTAATTCCACACTGAGTATGATATTGTTGACAATTCCCTCTAACAAAATAAATTGGTGACAGCAAATTTCAGAAACACTCAGTAGTATCTTTCAGATTTCAAGTGATCCACATACATAATGAGGGGATAATTAATAATCTCAGAAAAACAAGAAGTTAATAAACATTTCCTGGGGATTTGCAAATTGAAAAGCAAAATTGAGTAAGAGCTCATGACTGTAAACATCCATCATCAATGGTCTAAAATAATACCCATAATCAAACAGTGTGTAACATGGAACTACAAAGTGGTCTACTATTAAATAACCAGGAAATTATCAATAACTACAGATTTTACCAGAATTCTTACACATTTATGTATGATACAGCAAGTAGTTAAAACATTCATGCTATAGGTATTTACTTCAGTACTTAAAATTTAACATCCATGAGGAAGGGAAGAAAGTGTTCATAGCATGTATGTCGTATGAAGTTTGAAAGTTCTACTTTGGATCTGTCTATGCTTAAGAGGAGCCCAAAAAACTAGATTTGTGAATATGACTTAAACTATTACTCATGACCAGATGGAGGAGATGAAGAAGTACCAACCAAAAGACCCCGGGGAGAGAATGTATCACAAAATAGGTTGTCTTTTTTGTGAACACGGCGTACATGTGACCTTAAATTATCTCTTCGAGCAGATCGGTAAGGGCAATGAGGACACAGGTGAGGTTTTTCTCCAGTATGCATTCGCCGATGCTGAATAAGCTGAAATTTGTGGACAGCATTAGAGGATCCAGTACAGATTAAAATAAACTGTAATTTTATGATTCCACCTTCTGAAATTATACTATACCTTTTTAAGTTGAACTGTTCTAAACACACAAATGTCGCAACAAAAGAACCTGTCATCTCTGTGCTTTCGCATGTGCTTGTTCATATCTGCTTCAGTAGGTCTATCTTTGCCACATATGACACAGGATATTTTTAAATTATTGTTTGGTAAAGGAGGTGTTCCGGTTGAATGAGTTTTCAGATGCTTATAAAATGCCTTTTCAATTGTACATGCGTAAGAACACATCTGACAGCGGTATTCTTCACGTTCGTATCTAGAGATTGAATTTGTTTTTTATCATAAACAAAAATTAACAAAAACTGCAATAAAAATTACTGGTTTTGGTAGGATAATATGTACCTGACTCTCTGAAGATTAGATGGGACTGTTCTTTTCTTTGCTGTTGAATTTACACTGCCTTCTGCAACATGTCTGGCCACATGGGTTTCCATGTCATGGCGGTCACTAGCTCTAAACCGACAAGCTGTCACTGGACAGCTTGCTGAATGAGAGAGCTTTCTCATTAAAGCATGAGCTAAATTAGCATCTGTTGCAGGAGCAGGATGCACCATCGTTATATGCCTCTTCAACCCAGGTCTGGTATCAGCCATGAAGCTACACTCACCACACTCAAATCCAACTTTTGAGCCCATTCTACACCCAGGGAAAATAAAAAGCACTATTTCAGTTTACTGATATAAGAAGAGTACACTCTTGAATACAATTTTTGATTATTGACAACCAAGAATTAGTTTTACCGTGTATGACTTTGCTGGTTGAACAAAGATGAGCTCTGCATATCTCCAATATTCATTTTAGGATCTTCTTCATCATCTTCAGATTCATCTGATAGTGGTTCTAGTTGTTTCACTGGTAAACGTCCAACTGGAGGAAGCTCATACAGATTTTGCTCTCCAGTTGATGTGAGAGTTTTGTTAGGGTCATCAATATATGATATGACATTCTCTGTCTTGACACTAATATTTGCCCCAACAATGCTATTGTTCCACAAATTATCAACAGGAGGAAGGACTGTGGGCGATATGTTTATATCATCTGTGTCATGGAATTCTCTGTCAGGAGCAGGTCTCCTAGGCCTTTGAATTTTGATCTAAAAGTACAATATTTTACATGGCATCAATTAGTTAAAATATGCTGGGATGAATAAGAGGAAAATGTAAAACAGTGAGGACTCACCCTCTTTTGAGGTGTAGTTTCAACCTTAAGAACTATACTATTTGGCTCAGAAACCAGACTTGGATCTATTCCCAAAGATTGATGGCTGACAAGTAAACTCACCTAAAACATAAAAGGTTATGGAATTAAACAGTTTAACTTGAGATAAACTGCTACTCCAGTTTCACTTAATCTCTGAGTGACAAGGAGTTGTACCATAATTCAAATAACACTACATAAAATATACCAGGTACTTGTGTATCGAGCTAACAAAACACGTTTTACCTGATCATCTAGGTCTGGTTCAGGTTTCATGGCAACATATCCTGGTTGAGTACTCGTCACTGGAAAGAAAAACAAAATTGTAGGAAAAGTTTTCTAGGTAAATATGTATCTATTATCAATGTAATCATCTACCATGAATACTAGAAGAAACTTCTTCTGATGCGTGAAGGGAGACAGGAACACCATCATGCATTTGAATAGTATTTGCAACTACTTCCTGTACATCAGTTGTCAGATCACTATGAATATCTCCTGTAATTTCTGTGTCAATTCCTACTTGCAAGTCACTAGCATGTATTTCTTCGCTTGTGACAACAGGTAGCTCTCCATGGATTTCTTCAATTGTCTCTCCATTCACTGTGGTGTACAGAGTGCGGCTGACTGAACTGGCTGATGGCCAAAGGGTTGGCCCATGCATATTCCACAAGCTAAATTCCATCTGTAAATGAATGAAAATGTTAAAGAACCGGTGATGATTAAACACAACTACTTTAGTGTTCCGTATGACTTTCAGGCATTGATTTTTCCAAATAACAAACAACATTATTTTTTGGAACTTTATTATGCTGACAGCATTATTCATTCAAAGTGTGACAATACCTGCGTGATAAATCCCACTCCTTCAACTGTTTAAGTAGGAGATAACATTCAAAACTACAGTCAACCCCACACAATTGATAGCGCGACTCCCCCCATTCACGAAATGCTGAAAATTGATTGACATATTCAAGTGATTTCTAAAATGGTTGACACAAAACACAACTTATAAAAAATTGTATGGATCATACAAACAATGGGAAACATACGCAATAGAAAATGAACAGAGACGGACAAAAAAATTCAATTTCTTGGAGTTAGGAAGAATAAGATAACTTACCTTGAAATTTTCATGTAAATTTGAATAATGGTTGTAGATGATTTATTGCAGTAACATGTTATTCCTCAATAACTGATCCAGTGAACTGTCGGCTGAGGCCGAAGATTGGACAGTCAAAGTAGGCCCTGATGTCACCACTCAAAAAAATCTCTTACTTAACCTTTTACAGAATGATTCATGTTCAAAATTGTAGATTATGTTACCATAATACAAATTGCATCTAAATTCGAACACACAGGACAGGTATTTACCTAAATTACCCTAGAATAACGTTCCATTATCTTTTGACACTGGCTAGGCCTACCCAAAAATAAGCCTCAGCCGACGTGGGTAAGCATATAAACACGCCAACACACGATTTAAAGGGACAGAGATAGAGGTCAGATTCGGTCAAACCATGTGATTCCGCATAGTTGAGAAAAAATATTTGATCTTTTTTCATTATTTTCGCATTATTGGCATTGCCACAATTACTACTCTTCGCAACTGGAATATTTTTTCATTGATTTTCTCTTTTGGTCTGTATTGGGAAAACCAGGGAAAACAGTCCATCATGACCAAGGCCACTTTGACATTTGTTGTTGTTGTTTGTAAAGCAGAAAGCAGAAAGGTTTGTTTTTGCTGAATCTCTGTCTGTGTGTCCATATCATTTGAAAAAAAAATTAACACTCTCCCAGGTTGTTTTTCTTTGAAAAATTAATAACTTATGTTTACTACTCACGAATCGACGTTTAATTTCGCTGTCAACTAATTCCTGGTCGTTTAAAATCCATTAATGGTACATTAGACATAACCTTACGAAATTCACTGCAATATTTACGCATTATGCCAAAATGATATTTGGAGATACGTCTGTTGTGGTTTTCCATATGAGAACTGTAACTGAAATCGTAATAATTCCTCCTAATATGATCCACATCCATTTCAAGATGTCAAGAGAACTTTGTTTCTACTGATTGACAATGTCTATTCTCAAGTTTTTCCAGTCAGATTTTGTGAATGATTACAATTGCTTAGAAGTAAGTTGTTTTCTTCTGTTTGTTTTTTCAGTTCTTGAGAATGTTGTGTACTCAAAGATTGTTGAGTAGAAATGTTGTCCGAAGTGTCAATGTTTCTCTTCAAGCACTCTACTCTGGTAAACGGAACAGTGACAATGACCAGGACGGCCAGGATGTGTATAATCTAGTGCCATATGCAAATGATGCTGATGGTACGTCCCACTCATTAGGTAATTCAGGTTTCAGCCTTAAACTGATCAACTAATTAAGATTTCTTTGTTTCCCTTTCAGTTGCAATTAATAATCCGAATTGGGAACTATTATCTCAGAGATACAGACTTTACATGCCTGGTAAGCTAGGTCATGCCTGGCTTGACAACAGCTCTACTGCCCATTTTGACTATAGCAAACCTTTTGAAGTAAGCTCTTGAAAACTATGTTTAAAAGCTATCTATATATTAGTGTTCAGAAATGATAAATGCCTTAATTTATTTTTTAGAATATGAAAGAGGGAAGTATGGAATACTCTGCCCAGGAGTGCCCTTTACTGCTTCGAGCAGGTTGGTGCTTGTAGAGCTGAGCTGCAAGATGTGGTCTTTATTTTCCAGGATTTTACAATTGTTTTGTTTCCTTTAATATTTCAGGATTAATGGAAATGTTCCCAGGGCTAGATTTTCGCCAACAGCACACAACCATTGTTAGCCTGAGACAGCCATTGTATAGGAGAGGACGGCGCCAAGATGTAGATGAGCTAACTAAGCAAGTAAGTTTATCTCAATACTGATAATCTTGGTAACAGCACCAGTTTCTGATCTAGCATGGTTTTATTACAGTTTATTATTGCTGCCCAAAAAATTTGTGGTCAACTCATGGACATGGGTTATTGGGCTGATTTCATTAACCCCTTCTCAGGGAGACCATATTATTACTATAAGGTTCCACGTGATGTTCTATACAAGACAGATAAGCGGTTCCATTGCATGGGCTTTCACATTGAGAGCAAAAATACTTGTAAAGTAATAAGCCTTACCCAAGGCTCAAATAGATACCTTATCGGTGAGTTAGCTTTTATCTTAACTCCATGCTTCGCAAAAAATTTTCATCTATTGGACACTAATTGAGGTACTTAAATCTAGGGAGTGTATACACCTCGGCTCCACCCGCAGAGGCCATTGCACCATTAGCACAAGAAGCTCAAGGTGAGACTTTCATTAAATTTTGTAATGTTGTGTGTGTCCAACTTCATGACTGACTCAATTTCCGTGTAATCCTAGATCCTAATGCAGAATTCTAACGAAACATGGTGGATGTTTTTCTGAAGATCTTTGTCTATGAACACTGCCTATGAAACATTGAATAGATGACAAGGCATTTTCTTTGCTGTTTCTTTAATTGGCTGTTAAATCTTCCTGTTGTATGTATCCTCTAATTACTTGAATATGTGTCAAACAAGCTATAACATTTTCAGAAAAGTGCAAAGCTAGCTGTGATCCTGTTTGACTGGTAATAGATAATTCAGTGTATCTTATTTGAGAAATAAAGTTGTTATTCTGACAGTCATATAGTTCACTCCCACATCTTACGAATGAGTAAGGAAGGCCTGTCATAGAGACAAAGACAACACAAGTCTACAAGTGAGCGTAATTTACTGGGTCAACAGTACAAATTTTCCAATAACATCACAAGAACAGGACAGGGCACGCACATTTCAGTAAAATATACAAATTTGTTAAATTAAAAAAAGGAGTTAACTTAAATTTTGTTGAAGGCCGCAATGTCAACAGACTGCACAAAGTCCTCGAAGTTCTGAATCTCCTCCGTCAGTTGGTCAACCGACACCTTGTCGTCCTCCACAATACACATGATCTGCAACTTGTTGATACCATAGCCGACCGGCACCAGCTTGGAGGCGCCCCACACCAGGCCGTCCATGGCGATGGTCCTAACCTGGACCTCCATGGCCTTCATGTCGGTCTCGTCGTCCCAGGGCTTCACGTCCAAGACGATGGAGGACTTGGCGATCACTGTGGGTTTGTTGGACTTCTTGGCGGCGTACGCGGCGAGCCTCTCCTCTCTGATCTTGGCGGCCTCGGCGTCCTCCTCCTCGTCGGAGCCGAACAGGTCCACGTCGTCGTCATCATCGGCGGCGGGCTTGGCGGCCGCGGGGGCGGCTGCGGGGGCGGCGGCCGAACCTCCCTTGAGCAGGGCTGAGGGGACCTCCTTCTTGCCGGGGAGCTTCTGCTTCTCGGCGCCCTGATACGACTTGATGTGGTTGTACCAGCGCAGTGCGTGTGGGGTAGCAGCTGACGGCGCCTTGGCGAGAGCTTCGAACACACAAATATCGGCCTGGGATGGCACGAAACCGTCGACGTAGCTACGCTCGGCCAGAAAGGCGTCCAGGTCCTTGACGCCCTTCTCAGACTTGAAATCTCCGACAGCCATGGTGAGAAAATTTGTGTTGAACCGGGAGCACTATAACCTCAGCCCGACTCTGCTCGATGGACGACGTTGAAGAGCGAACACGAGGGCAACTCGCAGCTCGCAGTGTTTCTAATGTCGTCGGGCAGAGATAGTCCGGGGTGCACCGATCACCGATCCAACCCGGATCGGCAGCCAATCTCTGCCCGATGCCCGATACGACATTATTCATTGTTGCCACCCTCCCTCTGTCGTCGGACTACGCGGCCGAGCCAAATTTAAAGTATATATAATTAGAACAGCAACCTCCTTTGTAAATAGAACATTTCATTTGACTAATTTTAGCACACACGAGTAGTAGCGGTGCCCTTCACACGTTGTCAAGCATACACCTTAATGCAACCAATGCAACATTTGAAGACAAAAGACGGTGGCGATTGCCGATTGTCCTGGTGTCCAAAACTTGAACTTGTTGCAACTTGCCCGTGGTCGTTCGTCGGCGTTGAGCTATTCCCCTCGAGCTGCCGTCGAGTCGTGAGCGTCTTCCGTCGGCGTACCAAATCCAACCGTTGAATTTGTGTTGTAAACACCCATCCCAAGAAATCTACAGCCATGGCCGGAGTTATGGGACCTCCTCAACCTCCGGAAATTCCGAAAATCTCCACGGGGCCAGGTAAATATGCGTAATCCCAAATCCTTTTCGGGGTACCTCGGGTACCTCGCCGGCGCCGCGCGGCGGCCGACCGATGGGGGTTTTCTAAGGATTAGGTTATTTTTTTGCCACGGCATTTCCCTTTAATTCTTTGCCCCCACTTGGTAGTTTAGTTTCCCAAACAACACAGACTGGAGTTAGAGCTTGTATTAACGAGCCTGCTATGATATTTTCTTGATACTTAAAATTTGCCACCGATCGTCTTCCGAGTTTGATTTCTATTTGATGTCTAGGCGTTGTATGCAGCCCCTTGAGTTTCATTGTCAAGCTTATTTTTCCTTTTAAGACTCATTTGTCAACCAGGCCTAATGCTTTTTAACAAAACTTTTCATCATGTTTATTGTGCAATAAAAGGGTTAGGGTAGCATCTGTACGAACTCGGTGTGCAGTCTATGGGACTTTAGGGGATATCTAATTGATGTTGACGAAAACCTGTGCAATAGGGGCCAGTTGTGTATTATTACTCACTTTAATATGTGCCTTATTTCGACTCATCACTAAACCACAACTCCGTTTGTGTCATCGCTTCTCCAACCATTTAGCACTGCAGACTTTAGCCTTGCCTGCGGTATTGTGACCATTTTCCTGCCTCTGAGCATTAAATTTAAATTGGATTTTTAGAGATGGTTCTTTAACTAGCAGTACTCAGACGTGTTATTCCTCACTCGTGCCTTGAAGGATGTGTTATAACTCTAGCCCTAGCCCTCCTCCCCCCTTTCGCGTAATAAATCATGAAACAATTTTACTTAAACTGCCCTCGTATTTCCCTCAATTGTTCCGTCGATATAAAAACATATACTGAGACCAGCCTAAGGTCGCGACTGAAGAAGCACAGGCGGTATAGGAGTTTGCGGGCGAGAGGGTGTGAGGAAAATCGATCTTAGGCTGGTCTGCCTATACCTTGCTTTCCCTAGGCCCATGTTTCCTACCGATATCCCGGACTTATTGCGAGCACAGAGAGCGCTGCGCACGCTCATAGGGAGGAAAGAGCGGGGGGGGGGGGGGGGTGACAGCGTCAGCATCTCATGTTCCACTTTGCCACTGCGAACTGCACACTGTTCCTCATGTTGGTGACATGCCCGTGTTGGTGTTGCAAATTTTGCTGCAGCGCCCCCATTCCCGTGAGCTGTGTGATTTAGGGCCCTATCTCCTCCATCCCCGTATTTATTTTTTGTGTGTTTTTTACTGTTTTAATAATTATTATTACTTTTCCTGCATAAGTTTACGGGTGAAATTTGAGCGAATCGAGCTAGTTTCCAAGTGAGGGTTGGGCATCGAGGCGGGCGACAACACGCTGCTGGAGCAGGGTGAATTCAGGGAATGACCACCGCACGTTTTGGACTTCCCTCAGGGAATGACCACCGCTCGTCTCGGACTCCCCCTGAGGAGTGGATGTCAAAGAAGCGCGTTTGCGCTAGATTGACAGTTTTAAGTGTTTCCTGACACTTAGCTTTTCTGTGCCTTAATAAACAAACAACTCTTAGGCCATTTTAACAATATGTGGTAGTACGGTCTGTCTGTCTGTCTTGCAGTCTCAGAATCACTAGTGTATGATTAGGACAATCATAGGGCTGGCCTCAGATGTAATACCTGTGAAATCAATTTGAAACTAACTGGTTGAAATCTAATTCCGTGCTGGCATACCTAGCTAGTCTCATAGGCTAGGTCAGTTTACACTCTGTGATTTTTTTGAGGCCAAGTCCTAACTTTCCGTCCCGACGCTCAAGCAGCCTGTTTCAGTTTTGTTTTTTAGTTCAGAGGGCTGGACACTGCAAAATGGGTTGACGTGGTGAACCGTAGTAGAAGTTTTACGAACTGTTTTTTTTTTTAATTTATTTTTTGCATTAGGTGGGTCTCGTGATGGCTTAGGAGAAGACTTTGGTCCCGTTTGCTGCAGCAGGTAGCTGTAGTTTATGGGGTTGGGGCGCGGGCCACTACCCGCCCCACCTCCCCCCCCCCCCCCCCCCCTGGTTTTTTTTTCCCCCGAGTATTCGCTGCTCCAGCCACAACAGGGCAGCCCTAGCTTGCACAATCTCCCCCCCCCCCCCCCGCTCCCTTCCCCCTCTCTCCTTCGCTCCCCCCTCCCCTCGAAGGCCCCGAGCCGAGAACCGCCAACCGCCGCGCCGAGAGTCACCCACTTTCCTTCTCAGTCATAGTCAGGGCTTAACCACCGCTCCACGCTCCGCCCCACTTGTGAAGTTTACTCCCTTCTTTCACGGAGAGCGCGCGAAAAGCAGTTTTGTTCGTGTTGTGTGTACTGTAAGGTTTTATTAGACAGTCCCTTTTGGCTGTTTCTACCCGAACGCAAGTCTTTGGATTTCGGCATTATCTTGACGGTAAGACCAGCTGCACAGTGGGAGAGGGGCATCGTTTTCGACTTTTTCTGTGCAGTCTGCTTAAAACTGCTTTGTCGTGCAAGCAGACTAGCTGATTGCTGATTTCAACTTATTGGGCATAGTAAACTGAGGAATAGTTTTCCACTTGCAGTGCAGCTTGCTTAAAATTGCTTAATCTTATTAGCAGATTATGAGTCTGCCAATTTGGCATCAGTTAATGAGGTTTTAGTCAGTGTACACATTCTTTCCAGACAGTATTTCCCTCCTTTTAGTAGCTTTATTTACAGGTCTATCCTAACTACCCTGCTCTCGAGTGTACTGATAATTTCATGATTCATTTTATTTGGGTAATTGGTGTAATGTTATCATTTGTTTTGATTTGCAGTTGACATGAGTCACGCCACGGAAAAGTATATAACATGCCCTTACAACCAGTCTCACTCAATCCTGGCATACAGAATGCAATATCACCTTCATAAATGCCGTAAAAATTACACCAATGTTGAGTATGGTTCTTGTACTCATAATTCAACCCATCACATTCCGAAACAAGAGCTTAAGGTGAGTAGTAATGAAGCAGAGTTATTCTAGCATCTAAAGGCATATTTTCACATCCTCACTTTTATGCCCATTTTATTTTTGTTAAAGTTTGTAAAATTCTTCATTTTTTATTATCCTTTTCCTAGTATCACGAAGATCATGAGTGTCCGGATCGGCATGATTTCCAAGCCATGATTGCTCAATTTGCTGACACATCACTACGTGTGCCTATTGACACAATTGAACTGCCAGTGCTAGAAGAAAGTTGGGATAATGTAAGTACTTTCTCTAATTTGAGCTGAACAGTATTATAAGGTGTGAGTTTTTCTAATCTTATTTGATTTTTAGGAACCTGTCAACACTTTTGATCCAAGAGAGAATGCTAAGGCCAAGTCTCTCATTCGTGGAGTGCACTGTGTGCCTCCAAGTGAAAGGAAGCAATTTCGGAATGATCACCGAAAACATGTTGAGAGTTCTGATGACATTGAAACTAAGACCAAACTAAGTGCACCAAAGAAGCCCTCTACGAACAAAGAGGTGAGTGATCAACTAATGAATATCACCATCTAGAATTCTTCTAATGTGGTCCAAACATAATATTCTTTAACATCACAAATAATTTATTTTTCTTGTTGTTTCTTCAGAATGGTCAAATGCTGCCACTCAGGCCCCCTAAGGAATGGCCAAAAGGTTTCAACATGGGCAGAGGAGTTAAGCAACCTACTGACGAGGCATCTGCTGTGATACAGGCCCCTTCGCATTCTTCTTCCTCATCCTCCTCCTCCTTGATGAATCTACCTGCTGAGAGACCTGGTAATGCGTCTAATAGGCAGTGGCTTGGGATGGGCAGGGGAAGACCAATTCCCCCATCAGAGTCTTCATCACCCCCCAATGGAGCTTGGGGCACCTCACCACCTTGCACAGCAGAGTTTTCTTCCTCACCCAAGGGAGCTTGGGGCAATGGAAGGCCAAAGTTTTAATGATATCTCCTCTATTTTCTGCCCAGAAAAGTTCTGTTAGTTTTCTTTTTCTTCTGTTCAAGTTATAGTGCATTGACACTTCAGAATATTTTGTTATCTTTTACCTACATTGTGTACTTAGCTTCGGTCTTTCCCAATATACATAAAAAAGCTGACCGCGAAAAAAATATTTCCATACTCAAATGTACTCAATGTACTCATTTTCAATATTTTAAGACGCTCTTCAGTATATTTGTAACCATGGCGTCACTCAGTTTGTTGGTTTTGAAGCCCCTTGTCTCATCTGAGTTTACATTGGGGAGCCCAACTATTTTAGAATAAGTACCATAAGGATGCACTGATTCGTGAATAAGTTACTATTTGCAAACCTCAAATTTTCTGTTCAGTTGCTTACTTTTAAATTCATAAAATGTATTTTCCTGTACATTTTTTTTTGTTAACATTTTATAAGAAAAATATATATTTACTGTGAAAGAATAATTGGATTGTTTCTATCTGCCCGTATGTCAAGTGATCATTTTATCCTCTGCATTTCACACTGGCTGGAAACTGAATTAGTTCTCTCCTCAGGTATTCAAATAGCATGGATTGCAAACTGTTACTCAATATTTATTTTTTATTAATAATGCAACTTGTATGAAAACATTTAACTGAAGCACAATTTTTTGTGACTAACATAATTGCACATAAATGGCACAACACTACTATGTTGTAGCTAACTGGATACAAAATAATATTAAAACCTGTTGAGGTTGAGAGGCCGACTGAACATTTGAATGTTCCTCTGAGTTACGGCCTATCATCCTCTCACGTGTGTGCACGGAGTTGTTTGATAAAATTATCCTAAGAGGATCTGTTGATTTCCCTGAGTTACATACAACATCACAGTCTAGAACAAATAATGACAACAGGTGAATATACAGGTATTTGTACAGTACAATGCCAATTAAGGTAGTCCATAATTAGATGTAGGCATGCAATAATGATTGATGCATTCTATTCGGGAAGTAGAGAACTGCTTTAAAAGGACAACCAAAGTACAGCTATGCAAGCTCAGTATCTTTGATAGTTATGCTTCCTTCCATCGTATCACATTCATGAGAAACAGGTAACAGAAAATTTAAATTCAGTTCTGCACTGCCAAAATGAATAATTTTAACATTTAAAGGCAGCATCACCCCGCCTCCCCTCCCCTCTTTTTTATCTCTTTAAAAACAAGAATAAGAGAAAAAAATCATTTTTTTTCACTACATAATTGAAATAGAAAAAATCACAATGAACTTCTTACGCTCCAGCCACAACAGGGCAGCCCTAGCTTGCACAATCTCCCCCCCCCCTCCATGCTACCTTCCCCCTCTCTCCTTCGCTCCCCCCTCCCCTCGAAGGCCCCGAGCCGAGAACCGCCAACCGCCGCGCCGAGAGTCACCCACTTTCCTTCTCAGTCATAGTCAGGGCTTAACCACCGCTCCACGCTCCGCCCCACTTGTGAAGTTTACTCCCTTCTTTCA